AGACACCCGCCCTAACCCCAAGCTCCTACCCCAAGATCCGAAGAAGAAAGCCCAAGTCAGAATGATCGCGGATCACATTGTTTCTGGCATTCAGCCACTCCAGGTATGGCCATGTCATATCCATGCAAATTAGAAAACCAGGACGGGTTTCCAGGAGTCTGTATCTCTGAAAAGTTCTCTTTAAATTGCTGCCAACCAATAGAGTGGCAGACCTTAAGACTGTGTGTTAGCAAATGAAATCTCTCTTAGCATCTTCCTGATCTGCCAATGGCAACAATACAGTATTTCCTACAAAGAAAATCCTACAGCACCCCAGAGTTCTTTCCAGAAACAGCTGAACCCATGCAGGTTCACTGCAGGGTCTAGTATGCTTTAGGAAGACAACAACTGAGTAACTCAAAGGGCAGAGGCAAAGGGATACCCTCACAACTGTTGCAGAAGGACAGTCCCAGGAGAGAGGTACAGCAGGGTGCATGCTTCAGTGAGGGTGAAGTCAGGGCCGACCCACAGCAAGCTGAACTCAAGCTGGGGGTTCAGGCTTGGCACCTCCTCATCTCCCCGCTCCTCCACTGGATAAGGTAGTGAGGAAGATCCAGCCAGTGGTGGTCAATCTAACCTGGAGATCATTTGCCTTCACAGAACCTGAGTGTCCTGCAACAAATGGGGGAGAAAAAAATGGAATGGGCTCAGAACTGCATCTCATCTGGCTTCCAAGGTGCGTCCCACATCCAAAATGATTGGCACTTTGACTGACCCTTCAAAACTCTGTGCCACTGGGGTCCTACTTTCCTCTTTAAGCAGAAAACAGGTCTCCCTATGCTGGTGTGTTGGGGTCCTGCCCTGCTGGTAGCACCCTAGGGTCTCAGAGGAACGATACTGTCCACAGGCGCACTTTCACTGCTGTGCATGGAAGAGGGAAAGCCTGAGGCCATCCTGTACACTGCAGCGGTTGATTCACCCTCATGGATGAGGGCTGAGAGCACTTCTCCTTTCCACCCAACTGTTCCCAAACTAGTGCCTTTTGCCTTAAGGTTCTATCAATCTATATTGATATGCTTTTGTCATGAGACAAAATATATCTGATGCAAACTCCCACAGAATCTAGCAAGTAGCAGAGTATTTCTTTACCTCCCTGGGAGAAATACGGTGTTTTTTGTTTTCTCAAAGCCCTTTCCCCCATGTGCTGGAATGCCAGGCCCATCTTCACTTCTGGACAGACGCAGACTGACTGAACCCTTGCGTTTTCCCCCTCCGTCCTCTCATGTATCGCTACATTGTCCTCTTAGCATTTCAGGTGCAGCAGCTGAAATCACCCTGGGTCCCAAAAGGCTGAAGGACCCTAAAGACTCCTATAACTACGCTGTTATAAGATTTCTGTTCCTTCTAGGTTCTGTCCCAAACTGCTCTTTTTTCATACTCGGCTCAGGGTCAAAATGCCTTTGTTCATAATTCCCAGTCTAAATGGTCTTTGATGTCCCTCTCAAATGAGTTTGCAATGCCTCACTCCAGTGTACCACCTCTCTTAGCAGCGCTGGAACAGACTCTGCAGCACACTGCTGGGCGCTACTGTGTGGGGGATGAAGTAAGTATCTGAGAGAGTGTTGTGTACCATTGGAGAACTGAAAATCCCAGTATATTCCATAAAATAGGAAAGGAAATTACTTGTAGAGACACAGCACAACCCCATACTGTGCCTGGAGTTACATGCGGTGCCTTTACCATAAGAAAAACAGCTGCACGGATCCTAATTAGGCCATTACTGACTTGCAGATAGTTATGAAAATGTTTACTTGTTCCTGCCTTTAACCTGCTGATGGCCACATTCTGCAGCTGTATCCAGAATCTGGCTGCTATGTGGAAACAGATTATATGTGTTTAATCTTTAAGAGATTTGGGGTTCAAAGTGTCCTGTCATAAGGGCAAAGCGTGGCTCAAGAAACACAGGTTTAGTTCTTAGCTCTGCTCTGTGGAACCTTTAACCAAGTTGTATTGTATTTTTCTGCTCTGTTCATCCAATTTTAACACAGAGAGATTTCAGAGAGCTCATGTACAAGCTGTTCTGACCCTTACCGAGCTAGAGGCCACTCAGGCCTCTTCCATTTAGTAGTCCTGTATGGCAGGTGATTGGATCTTTCCTACAAAAGCCTGGCAAAAAGGAGGGCTCCTGCAATAACCTGTGATGCAGAGGATTGTCTAGTAGGAGCCTTATGGAACTGGAGCACTTGGTGGGCAACGGCTAGTTATGGGATCTTATGCTGGAGAATAAGGCTTACTCTGAAAGGCACCCAGAGCTTTGTGACCTGGGGAGTGGGGTGGGCACAGCTGTTTCTGTGCAGATAGGCAGCTAGCTGTATTGTCCTTGAGTCTTCTTTTCAGATTGCAAGTCCCTGAGCCCATGTGCAAAGGCCCTATCACATATCAGGTCTTGAGATGGGCAGGAGCTGCTTGATGCTCCTGCAATGCAAATAAGCAAAATTAACTCATCTTTTACCAGCCATGCAAACTCCTCCCTCCCCGCCTCGCCTCCCTCTGCAGCTTGCCAGCAGACTTGTTTGCTCAGAGGCAGTTGCCATAGAAGCACTGTGTCCTTGAGGTCACGGTGATCAGCTGGTAGAAGATGAAGCGCTCTAAAGGCTGATGGCAGCTTCTACTAGTAACTCCTATGAAGTTCTTTTCCTTGTACTGTTGTTGTACTATTTATGGTGGATTAAAGAATAGCATTGTTGTGACAACTCCTCTGTGCTGGCTGATAGAACAATTTCTGTCCTGCTACCAAAGCCTGCCACCACAGTGAAGCGTTATGGGACAGGCTATGAGTTACTCTGACCCCTTTTCTCTGCCACATTTGCAGGTTTCTATGGCTGATCTGTGCTTGGTGCCTCAAGTTTCCAATGCTGAAAGGTAACCAAGGCTAAGCTTGAGGTGCTCTCCAAGGGCACCTACTCCTTGTGCTGGGCTGTCAGAGTTTATCTTCTGCTGCTCCTTGTGCCTTTTGGGAAAGCAACCCTCCTGCCCACCCTTATCCAGTTATAGATTCTTCTCTGCATGAATTTTCTGATGTCATAAACACTATCGCTTTTGGAAGCTCTTAGAAATATAGAGCTAGGCTCTCTTCTCAGAGGCCCCTGGAGGAAACCTGATCTATGTCCTTAGACAAGCTAAGGTTGCTCGCACTCCACATCCTCTCTATTTGCCCTATATTTACACTGCATATATACGTCAGGAAAATATTAATCTAAATTTGTTGAATGCCTTAAACCTATGCAAGTAGTGGCTGCATGATTCCCAGGAAAAACGTAGTGCCTCCCTGCCCTATGCTGCACACTATGTAAAAGCTGAGTGAAGATAGAAGAACTAACTAACCTTTCCTCTAGCATTTGTTTTTAAACCTACAAGGATGAACCTCTTCTCTTAATGTAAAAGTACCACAGCCTGCGGGATTCTCCCATACTGGGCAGGCACAGTACTCTCCTCTACCCTTCTCACTGGTGCACTGGCTGGCTGACCAAAGAGGACCTCACAACTTCTTTTCCTTTTGCAGATTCAAAGTGGACATGGGTCCATATCCCACAATAACCAGAATAAACAAAGCTCTCCTGGAGTTAGAGGCATTCAAAGTAAGCCACCCATCCCGGCAGCCAGATACCCCTGCAGAGCTGCGAGCTTGACGCCCTTCTACTCATTAAATCAAGTAAGCTGGAGTGTCAAAGAGGACAACAGCTACAGCTTGAGTAGGACTTCAGTGCCATCAGGAAGCCCTAGTACTATTGTCTCACCTTCATCTGGATGGGAAGAAGGACAGAGGACCTGGAAGTAGCTTGGGTGTCTTACAGGAGCTATGCCTGTGCTGGAAAGCTTGCAGCTACTTCTATGGGTTTTTTTCTGTCTGATGTATCTCCATGAAGCAGATTAAAGCAGAGGCATCCATAATTATCAGCAGTCCCCTTTGTACGGCTCTGGGTTGGGAAATGTGGCCACAAACAACTGTGAGGCATTGAACCAGTTCTGGACTCCCCACAGGCACTTTCTACCACCTATGGAAAGAACATCAGGGAACTGGCGTACACACTGCACTAATAGCCTAGCAGGCCTGCTTGTCCTTGCAGCTGCCTCAGAGCTATGGCATAATCATCAGTGCCACGGATATAAGCAGTAAGAGCTGGTCTCTGACAGAAGACAGCTTAATCCCAACCCTTGTTGTGTCCCACAGGTCTTGCAAGAGCCAGTCAGCAACCCTGCCACCCCTTGCAATGACAAGATAATTACTGCCTGGGACAGCTGATTTGTACCTCTTCCTTACGCCTAGCAGCAGTCTTGCACAATTTGTGATAAAGGTCTGTCTAGAGCAGAGCTAGGTGGTTCTGCCATAGCCAGCAAGACACAACCAGCTCACTCCCATACACTGAAAATGATGGTGTTCTCATCCTTTCCCCATCCTCAGACACTGCTCTAGGTGTTTTCCTAGTCCTCAGCTGCAGACTGTTTCCCAAGGGAATACTACCAGAGATTCCCCTCAGAGCAGAATCACGCCTGTACTTTCACTGTGAGGACCTTTCAAGTGGCACAAGTAAATCCCATTTCTACTCATCCCAAATGAAACCCAACACCTGCATCACCTTCAGAGCTGAAAGCTCCCCAGGAATTCCAGCCTAGAAATCTGTAGGGCAAGAAGGGAAACCCAGAAGCCTGTGACTGTGTTACTGTGCAGGCTCAGCTGAGATCCCACTGAATGTTTTGGCAGCCAAGCCCAGGTACCAAGCCAGGGATACGGGTGAGAATTTCTGCCAGTCTGATGCTACATATCAGCTGCCCTAAGAGGACAATACCCACGGCCTTCAGAAAGGCTTTACAAACCCGTGATCTCTTGTGCCAAGGTACCGTTCATCTATATACAGATACTTGGACTGCCACATTGCTTGGACTCATTTATTGCCATCCATGTCTGTATTCAGGCTGGCGAAGAGCCCTTGCTGTTCCAGGCTCATTCCAAGTATTGTGCATTATCCTAGGTCCAGCTGGATCTTGACTATGCTGTTATAAAAGGTCCCGGTGCAGTTGGAGCCCCCAAAGACCAACACTGTGTGCAGGTTATGTTCCTCTTTGTTCTCCTTGTCCACATCCATCAGGTGGGCAGGAGTCAGGTCAAGCAATGTGTGGCCAGCTCGAGGCACAGAGCAGAGGTCATGGTGGATCACTGTGCTCCATGAAAGAGTATCTGAAGTAGAAAGCTGCTATCAATACTAACAAACCCATTCCTGGTGCAAGGGATGAAACAAATGGACGAGACTAGGTGTTAAGAAACACCACTGCAGCCCAATAGTCACCTTCAGCTATGGAAACTGGGAGGTAAAGTCACTGACCTAGGTTGAAGACAAAGGCATCCTGCAGGGCTCCCTTGGCATTGCAGCCTCCACTGATCAGAACTTTCTGGTCCGACACAGCCAGAGCTGCGTGAAAACTGTGACCAAAACAAAGCCGAAAGGTGACTACAGCAAAACTTGCTGGGGTCATCTCAGTCAGCAAGGGGCAGTGGTGGGCAAACCAGCAGGAGACTGGGGGCCTAAGCTGCAGAATGGAAGTTAAATTCTGCTTCTCTTCTGCCTTGACTTGCTGAATAACCCTAAAAGAGCTGTTTGTTTGCCCCTATCTTGTGGTCAGGCCACAATCAGGCCTGAAAAGCACCTCACTATCTCAAAAGGAGCTATCAAAACTCCTATGTTTTGCCGTATGGAGTGAGATAGCAGGCTAGCTGGGCTTTAGTTGGATTTATGCCATTGTCCTAGTAGGCAACAGTGTCCCTTTAGGAACAGCATAGTCCTGGTACAAGAGTTTTTTCCTCTCTGTGTGTCTGTTGTACTCCAGGTACTGTGGAGACCAAACTGCTGGCAATACAGTTCACTAGCACACGGCAGGAAACTTCCCCCAGCCTGAAAGGGAGACTAAGGGGTCTGTACCCCCCTCCACTCTACAGGCACCAACTAGGACAACACAGGAATTTCTGGTCCCACAGCAGAGGAGCCATCCACTGTATTTTGACTAGTGGGACAGAGATGCAACTGGGTCTGATCACAAGCACCATTTAAACTCGGCTTCAAAGAGACAGGACAGAGGAAGAAGATAGCTCCTGGGTCTGCAATAGGATCCTACCTGCGTGCAGAAGGCTGTCCTGCAAGGAGAGGCACTGGTGTGTACTCCATGAAACCTGACGGCCAGAGGAAAGGCAAGTGAAACGTTAAAAAAGCTTACCCTCATAACTAGACAAAAGCTTGCACACTCTGCCACATCAGCAACCTGCATTCTCTGTTACCCAGCTTCTAAAAAAGCACTCTTGTTTTTCCCCACTCTGTCCCCTCTTACTTCAGAAAGGGTTTTTCTACCCCATAGTTTTCCATCTCTATTGCCTAGTCAGGAGTTTTTATAAGATTAATGCTACCTTCCCATTGAGCATGCCTCATTCCCCAATCCCTGCCTTAGAATGGACCTTCCCAAGGCATCCACCTGGCACAGACTTTCTTACCCAGATCCAGGATGTGCATGTCGCTGAGGTAGAGAGAAGTCCTCTGACCCGCAAAAATCAGCAACTTGTTCTTCAGTAGAGTAGCTGAATGCCTGGGCAGAGAAGAAGCAAGTGAAGAAAGCATCTTCAGCAAGTTCCCAAAACTGACGTTTCAGCCTTGGCGTCTGCTATTGGGCTGCCATAGCTTCAGTCTACTGCCTCTACCCCCAGCCACTGCAGCCCAAGGACAGAATCCCATCAGGATTCATGACAGGAGGTACTGTGAGTCACATTGCTCAAATCATAGCTCTATCTTAAGGAGCAAACAGTGGAGAACAATCACCTAATATTTAGGAAATTACACGGGGATGGGAGGGAAGGTGAGCAGAGATTGTCTGCTCTATTTTGGAAGGCTGGAACAAGACCACTCTCACCCAAGCCTGGGCAGAGGCCTCTCCCCTTCTGAGATGGGCTGATACCAAATTTCATGCTCTGGATTGAAGACATAGAGGACATTGCTGCAGGGTCCAACTGCAACTGATGCCTTTTTGGGGAAAGTCCCTCCAAAAACAAAGAGCTCTTTGCGGTAGATAGTTGCACTGTGGTAGGTGAGCACTGGCATCCTCCCTTTGGCCTGGAAAAAGTTCAACATACGTTTGTTACAAGAAGTGCATAAGTTGCTGCATGACCTATGGCAAGGAGCCCACATCATGCAGCGAGTTCAACAAGTCTCAATTTTCACTTTATTGGCTCCCCAGCCAGGTCTTGGCCACACAGGCAGACAGTACATCCTTTGAGTACTCTGCACCACCAGAATGCTCTGACGAGAGAAGGAAGTCGGCTTCCTACCCCAGCCTCCTCAGAAGACAACAGAGAACAGAAAGATCTCATCCAGACTTATTCTGTAAAAGCCATCTTTTACTTAGCCAGGAAAGAGACAGTCCCTTGCTGACAGGGCCCTCTCCATGGACATGGCAGACAACTAAAGAGCTCAGAGATCTGCTGTGCTCAGAGCAGTCTCTGATTTGAGAAGACGAGCTCTTCACCCCAGCATCCAGTCCACCTCTCAACAGCACCATATAAAATGAGAGGCCATTTCCCTCTTCTGCTTGTAGGGTACCTCCCACCCACAACCTCAGCCAGTCACAGCACTCCCAGCAAACATTTTTTCACCTTGCTCCATTCATTTTAGGCACAGCCCCTGGGTTCTGCCAAGCTTGTGCCTTTCAACATAGCCTCCTTATATCTGTCAATCTCAGCTAAGCAGCTCAGACAACCTGCAACAACAGTGCACCAAAGCTACTGGAGTAAGGATAGGGGCACATCAATTGCCACGTTCAGGCAGGACCTACCACCCCTGCTGTGCTTTTGTCTTTGAAGAGCTGCAGTACTTACAGCCACAAGAAGCCATTTCCAGGTGACTGTGTCCAGAATGTAGATGCTGCTGTAGTCTTTGTCCTCCCTTATGCCCCCAAAGATGTAGATACGCTTGGTGTCTGGGTCGTAGGTGGCTGTGTGACCATGCAAGCACAATGGCTTGGCATTTTGTAGCTGGAAACCCACTGGAAGCCAGAAATCACTGTCTGTGGGAGCAACATCAGACACGTGGTGTCAGAGTTAAACGACACTCTTTATTTCTCCAGATTTAAAGAACATGTCATAAAATCTCTACTTAAGACCTTGCTCCCTTCATTTCCTCCTCTCCTTTGATTCAGGGCTAGAGGTGACTTACAGCAATGTTTCTGTGTAAGGAATGAAGGGGAACACTAACTGGGTGGGGAATAGTAAGATGGAAGAGAGGATCGGTGAGGTGCAGAAAGCTGCAAGGCACTGGAGTTTTATCTCACGCTTCCCTATCAGTCACCACACACAGACTGCAAACCACACTGTTGCTTTTACGCCTTAGAACTCCCCCAACTCTTTCCAGAACTTATACCTTAGCTCATAGAGGGCTCTCACATACAACCCCACAGCCTCTCATGGCATCCTAGGCTGTCAGCTCAGCCTGGTGATCATGTTAGGAGATGTGACACCTTTGCTGTCCCCTCCCTATGCACAGACCTCTGAGTATCCCCTCCCATCTGCAGGAGTTGTCCTTGAGTCCCACTGCCCCCATTGCCTTTGAAAGCCCTAAAGTCCCCACCAATTTCCAGCTTCCAGAGTGCATCCTTGCAGGACTGCTGATTGACACCTTCTCCACCGATGAGAACAGCTGTCCCCAGGTCACTGAGGCACATGGCATGGCACCACCGTGGGCTGGGACTGCCTGCGGAGGGGGGAGCACAGGGCTGTGAGCAGAGTCAGACAAGACACCCCCAGCTTTCTTCCCTCCTGGGGAGAACAAGCCAGCTGAAGGCCCAGAGAGGAGAAATGGGAAGGCAAGGACCCCAGGTCCCTTCCCTCTGGGGTGGCAAGAGACACAGCTCCCTGAGAAAGATTTTCTGTTGGCTTTGGGGAATAATTGCTGTACTAGGAGAGGCATTGCTAGCAGAGGGAGCCAGCAAAGAGTGTGGCTGGATGTAGGACACATACAGGCTGTCACTTCAGACAGGCTTGGATGCCTCCTATTGATTACCCATCCCCAGAAGGGATATCCCAGCTGTACTATCCGCCTCTATCACTCTATGTGAGGGAGGGCTACCCAGGGACAGCTTATTAGTGCCTAAGATACAGCAACCAGAAGCCTGGAGCTGCTTCCAGAGATATTCCTTGTACTGCTCTGTTCCTCCTCCTTTCCTCTCCCAGGCCCCTGCAGTTGGCTGCACAAGCTAAAAAATACTTTTTAATCGAAGTCCAATCCATGTCGCACTCTTTGCCTCAAAGGGCTATGCACCCAGAGGTGTCCCTGAGATTCAGAGGGGCTACAGAAGCGTATTGGAGAGCCTGACAGTACTAGAAGCACCTATACTAAGGGCAATTGCATGGAGAGGAACAGTATATACACACAACCTACTTGTTCTTGATCACTGGGGAGATAAAAGATGAAGCATGAGAGGCCTGTGACATTAAAGGGAATGGCATCACTGAGTGGCTGAAAAGACAAACCAGAGTCTAGGAACCAGATCCTGACCTTGCAACTCCTCCACCGCCAGATCTGCAGAGGAAACACAGAGATGACCCATAAAGAAAGCAGTCAGCAGACGTGCCCCAGAAAGCGCTCAGCTCCATGGTTTAAGAGCCCTTTGGCCTTCCTTCATCTAACCCCCAGCACAAAGCTACCTCACTGCAACAAACAAGGTGCAAGATCAAGAATCCCGAAGAAAGTGTCATCATAAGAAATGCAGAAGACAGGTAAGAGCAGGGCACATGTCCTTTGACTGCCATCATGCTGTCACCATTGCATTTTTCCCCTCTGATGGAAGTTCATTTCCCTCCTTCTCACACTGCCTACAGCAGAAGTGACTTTACAGGAGCTCTATTTGCCTTCATGAGAAGCAAGCCAAGTCCCAAGAAGTCACTTCACACAGGGACCACTTAGTGATTGTCAAACATTTACACACAAACTTGGTCACACCCTGGAGCTGACTTGGAGTTGATGCTCCAGAAGAGCTGAAGGTTTTGTTTCCAAACACCTTGGCAGCTACTTTCTGACTACTGAAAAGTCAGTACAATTATACTAATTATATTCCTTTTCATATTCTCTATACTTTCATAATAGCCGACATCTTCTGTGGACCAAGCAGCATGCTGTTAGAAGGGGAAAAAACAGACTAATGGAGACGTTACAGAACGTCACAGTAGGTAACTTCCTTGTGCTTCAATTTACACTTTTCTAAAACAAGGCTAATGACACTTGCTTTTGTTTATAAAGCACTTTTACTCATATGAAGAGATAGGATGTTATATTAAGGTACAGAGCATTGGTACTAAGAGTATCTCATGTCCTATTTCTGGCGTTTTCCCAACAGGCAAAAATTCATCAAGCAGTTATCCAGCACTAAGGAGCAGTTCTCAGTATTTCGCAAGCCAAGACAGACAAGCCCATCTTGCCTGGAGGTACACAGAGAAATGGACTGGGAAGTTGCTGACAGATTGTTCAGACAAGACCTGTGAAATAAACCTGGAAGGTGCCAGAGTTACCTTCTTCATCAAGATCTCTCTCGGATGCTGTAGGTTCAAATAAAACTTTCCTCGGCTTCTTGGGGTGGACAGGACTCTTCCTCCAGGACTCTCTGGGTTCCACCTCGCCAGATGGTGCCTTCAGGGCACAGGGTACCCCCAGGGTCCTCAGTGGTGGGCGGACGTCTTTCCTCCCAGGCTTGGATGCTCTAGCAGTCATCTCTGAGCTCTGACTCTTAACCTGTGATGAAAGTCCCAGTCAAATCCCTGAAGAAAAGGACCTGAGGCCACTGTGATTTGCCTGTTACTGGGCCAGAGATCAGTTTCACATGGTGACTGTTTTCAGGATCATCTTCCCGCTGAGTCTTCAGGGCCAGCATGCCAACAGTATCAGCCACAAAATGCGTGCTGAACAACGCAGCTACCTACTGCTATACACTCAGTGGTCCACTTTCAGACTGCTGGCTGCGAGAGGCACAGCCAGCACAAGGCAACTGGAAAGGCAGAAAGGCCGTCTGTGCTAGGAGTAACCAGGCTGATCGATCATCCCACTGAGGGCTGTTAAATTCAACCCTTCCAAAGGCGTTCCAATGGAGAATACCACTTTCTTTAGCACAAGTGAATCTTCAGCTCCAAAACTTGCTTAGCCAGTTCTCTACTAAGAGAGCAGCAGCAAATGTTTCTGATAGACATCAGCTGAGGTGTGAAATAACAAGAGGAAGGCTCTGAGATACACATACCGCAGTAGGATCCACCAGATCCTGGCCAAGGGGCATATCATCTGCTGGGAGCACTGGTGACTGGGTGGTCTCCGGGATGAGGAAGAGGTGGGCGGGTGTACTGCTGGAGACACCTCGGAGCAGCTGCAGCAGAAACAGCAACAGTGAGAATAAAAGGACATGACAAGTGTGCTGGCCTCCATTGACAAAGGGTGAGCAAAATGACGTCTTGCAAGGGACAGATTCCCTGCAAGGGAATACCCCAGCTTTCATCTCCAGCACCAACAATGAACAAAAGCAAAGCCAGGCACTGGATGCTAAATCCAAGGGCTTCAGCGCAAGGTAAAACAACTGTGTAAGTACCACAGACACAGGACAGAGTGGAACTGGAAATTAACTGCTCTCTGCTGCCCATCTCCTGCAACACATGAGGTGTTTTGGCAAAGCTGTGTTTAGGGAATAGGCCTGGAGCATGACAGAGGATTTAGGCTCAGTGCAGACATGCATTAACAGATCCACATGAGGCAGCTCTGCCTTGGAGTAGTAAAGATAAGGAAAAGGAGAGGATGGGAAAGGAAGTTCTGTGGTTCAGAAATGACAACATTCAAGACCCAGTGCAGAAGGAGAGTAGGATGTCGGGTCTTTTACCTGTCCATTGACAGTCAGGACAAGCTTCACAGAGTTGCCTTTGTCCATCTCTTTCAACGAAGCCATGAAAATATCTGTCCTCCAGTCACCTTCCCACACCAGAGACCTGCACAGGGGACCATGAGTTTTCAGCCCACAAGTGACACTGACCAAGGAAAAATCCCTGCTCCCACACTAGCTGGCAACACCTCAAAGCCAAAACAGATCCAGCCCTGAAAGTAGCCAAAAGGAAGCTGAAAGCATTACTTAAGAGAAACACCATGGTGGAGGACCAGCAGATCTGAGCAGCTTTGTAACACCACCAGCAGAACCAGGCAGCACCACAGAGCAGAAAGCTTTTCCAGGACACCCCTCCTGACACCCCAGCAGCCCCAGCTCTCGCCACAACCTGCGGGTGGGCTCCAGTGTGCCGACCCACTGCGGCATGACGCCCGGGGACACCAGCACATCCACCGCAACGCTTGTGTCCGGAGAGTAACAGCTCCAGTCT